AGTCAAAAGATTTTCTTTTGAACTTTTCTTTATGCATTAACTATTGTTGCTCTACATCTTGATACTGAGCACTTTCTTCACAAAATTCTGCTCGCCTTTAAATATATTAAATCCCAGTAATTAACTGGTTTACTGAACTGCGTATTTTGTTAGGCCATTAACGATCAGTAGGAGAGCAAACTGGGCTCTTTAGTCTTGGTTGGTAGCTAATCTAGGTAAAGGACAACTCTGAATTCAAATCTTGAGCTGTTTGGAGGCACACTGGACACCATTTCTCTCCGGAAAAGCGTAGCTGGTTCTGCAAAAAGCTTCACCACTTCATTATAAAAACTAATTTTTTAGTCACACATGCATTGTAATCAACCAACCTCATACACACACACACACACACACACACACACACACACACATATATATATATATATGGGGGGGTTATATGTGCATATGTATATATAACATTCGTCACAACATTTTATGCAACTGTTTTTCAAATATCTTCTTATTGCCTACATGTATCTGAACTTAATTCGGACAAAGCTTCGATAACACTGACATGAACAATAGTGCCGAAAAATACATGATTCCTCACAACTCTAAACAAATGAAAACCATTTTGATCATATTGCTTCAGTGTCACCATTTTGGGAAGATAGCTAACAAATTTAAATTTGAGTTTATATAAAACTGGTAAGAATTAGAAATAAATACGGTGTGGAGTTACCACTTTTAACATTTTCCTGCTATTATGCAAAAGATGGCGATAGTAACCTTTGCACATGCATGATGTTCCCCGATAATCAGTTATTGATCTACCATCCACCCCCACACAAAAAGTTTTCTTGTTTACCGAAGTTCATTTCTAAACACACTTGATAGATATAGGAATACAGGTGTAATTCCTGTCGAAGAACGCGTATTTTCTACGGAATTTCTCGAATGTTCAGTCCGGTAAATATAATAATTACGGTTTAATTAAAAACAAAGCATTTACTTAAAGAAATTGTATCTATAAATTTAATGTATAAACAGAATATATATATATATATATATATATGTATATATATATAATAAAAACGCTTAAACACTAATATTCCATGGTCATAATTTATTCCATTGGAATCGCAAATACGATCCAATTCATCAGACCTACAAATTCAAAAAGAAAACAGAAAAAACAGAAATATTTATTTACGATTCCAATGGAATAAATTATGACCATGAAATATTAGTGTTTAAGCCTTTTTATTATATCCTTACTCTGTCCTGGACATTGAGTTCTACCTGGATTCTATCCCCTTGAAATTTTTATTAAAAAATTTATATGTATGTGTATGCATCTATGTATATATATTTATATATTTTGCATATGTATGTGTATATTTACCACTAATATTATCTATCTATCTATCTATCTATCTATCTATATATATATATATATATATATATATATATATATATATATATTTCATTGAATATCACGGACATGAAAAAAATTTATAAGTTTTTACTCAATTTTTCTAATGTTCTTACAGTTTTATTTTATGAGGTCTAAGAGAGTGTAGAAACCGTCCGTGGTGATTATTGTCCCAGGTACTTTCGACCAATTCAATAAAAAAATGTATAAAATTTTCTTGTCCGTCAAAGAAAAAACTGATATATATATATATATATATATATATATATATATATATATATATATATATATATATATATATATATGGTGTAACAGCATAATTACCCATCCCACAAAATATTTTCTAAAAGACCCTAAACTGAGTTCTTTTTTTCCGGGTTTTCAGATAAGACGTTTAGCCAACTTGTCTCTATTTGTCTCAAGAATCACTGAAAAACTTATTCAGCTAGAAAGAGAACAGGTTAAGATCGTTTTGTCTCAGCACCATTGTCTTCCCAAATTATACATTTTATTTCTCAAAGTAGAGTCCAATAGTGTTATAAAAACCTCGGAGAATTCCAGTAAGATATCTTTAATAATTTCTAATATACAACAGTTGAAAGCTTAATCTAACAAAAGGACATTTTTGCTTTTAAACGATTTGAACTATTTTACTGTTATGCCCAGTATATAAATCAAAAATACTTTTCCAAACTTTGGGGGCCACAAAATTTGTAAAAGTAGTTTGATACACCCTGTATAGAGAGTTGTGTGTGCCTGTGTGTCTCTGTTTGTGTGTATAATATTTCAGAATATATCTGTAAAAGGGCAATATGAATAAAGACAAAAGGAAAACTTAGCCGATGCGTTTTGTCCTCTGACGGATTTTATCATTTGCCTTGATAAAGTTCACGTTTTTTCAAACTAGAGGCTGGGTATATAGTGGAAAAGCAGTTTTTCATCAGCAACTTTTGCATACACCAAATCATTTTTTAAAAATGTAATTACTTTTTTTGTAAAACTTATACAACTTGACTGGAAACAAATTTTTTACAAGGCAGTAAAGGTCAGCTTAGTGGACATGATAGTGAAATATTCCCCAAGATTTGGTTTTCGAATCCAGGTAAAAGCATGGATTAAGAATGCTGATTTTCAAAGTAGGCAAGTCCTCTGTAATTGGATGGAGTGCAACACAATCTTATCATCCGTGTCTTTCATATTTGGCTTTGTACCAGACGAAGTTTAAATGAGTAAATATTATCCACATAATATTCCTATTTTGTCAGTAAGGCTTACTTTCATTTTTAATTCCTGACACCTAACAATACCGGGGTGCTGAAAAATTCTCGGTTCGACCCACCAAACCCAGTATTTCAGTGACCAAACGTCAGAATTTTTTCTGAATGATTTCCTAACCATTGATAACCATTAATAAACTCTCTTTTGATGACATTTTTTTTAAAGCATTTCCACACAAAATCATAAACAAGGCATTTACATGTATATTAGCTTTATTCGATCAGTATTGCTGACCACTGACAATACTTTTTGACAAGGAGGGAGCAAGGAGTGCATATTATGAGGATATGTCATTTTCAAGAAGCAATGTGATGTCTTTCCAAAGAATACCAGAACAAAGGAATTCGCCTACTACAAAAACACCACAAAGACATAACGGTCGCGGAATAGCAGATGCAGGTCTTAAATTCGTGATGCGGTTCTATGACGTCATACCACGTGAAAGAACGAAATATTACCAACAGAATCATATGTTTAGATGCAATTCTAATTATTATTATCGTCATCGTCGCATCGCAAACTAATAGGTCAACATAACAGAATATCATCGTTGATGATGAATGTCTTTGTTTAAATGTCCATATAACCACTCTGAAGATGGCACATGCAAGCTAAAAGCTTAGATCGAGGAACAGCATAATAAAAATATCCAAATGTTGGAAAGATTTGTCTTTATTTTCTCCCAAAATTAAAGCAACGATACGAAGCTTAGAACGGCTTATGAACAAACATTCGTTGTCTGTTACATCTAACAGTATATATATATATATATATATATATATATATATATATATATATATATATATATATATAAAGTCTTCTTCCATGCAAGTAAGTGGAGAAAATTCAATTTAAAGTTTGCTTATTTCAATTTTTTTTTTTTGGCATTTTTCAAAATTTTGAATAAGATGTATATTGGGACCAAAATTGTAGATAAACTATCCGAAATTCCTGTTTTCTTTCAAGTATTTTCCATCCACTCTTATCTATCTATCTATCTATCTATCTCATATATATATATATATATATATATATATATATTAAAAAAAACACATTAATTGTTGTAACGTAGTGCAGGTTACTGAATAAAATAATCACACGAAAGTTGGTTATAAACGATAATACTTAGGACAAGAACAACACATATAAGATTCGCCAGCGGCGCGTAGAAGTAGTAGTCAACTGCTAGAAGTGAGCCAAGTAAATTCCACAATGAATCTCCCACTGCAGGATACCTACCAACTGCCCCACGCGGGAAGATGTGGCACAAGGTCGAATTTAATGTGGTGTATCCGAGCCCGTAGGTTCAGCCAAAATTCCCCGTATAAAACGGGGTCGGGTAGCTGTTTCCCGAGCCGAGACTGCCCTTCAGCGTAGCCTTGTATGGGGATCCTCTCTACCCGGAGGCAGAGAGTTTGACCAGCACAGCTGGAAACGAATCTCCAACTGCAGACCAACATACATCATTTACTACTGTAATTATGTGAATGGGGATATACCCATTATCTTCCGTAGGTGTGCTACAACATTAATATAAATATATATATAAAAAAAAAACATTAATATAAATAAATATAGTTGCCTAATAAAACAATAAGCATAGTTTTGAATATTACGATAATTTTGTCTAATATTTAAACTATAAACAGTTAGATACATTTACTATATTAAGATGTTTTATAAAAATGCCTTTCTGTAACGGTAAATTTATCCAATATATAATCAAAGTTTCAGATAAGATGATATCAACTTATAATTCTCTTAAGATGGAACAAATTTAAAATTTAATTGACGTCAATAACTAACGTTGTTTTGTATAAGTTATTTTAAAACACATGATAACTTAATAAATTCAATAGATTCATCGCACTCCTGACCACGAGCGGATCTGTGTCTATGAAACTCCGAGTCGAAGATAAGTCACCGAACATTTTATCTTGCTATACACTTTATGCCAGATATTGTGCGTGCACACTCTTCTTCCACTTTGTATATATTTAGTATGTACATAAGCTGTTGCGAGTTTTCCCAAAGGAGAAAAAATGTTCCGTCTAACCTTAGAGCTGACATCAATGATTTGAATTTCCTAGCGACAATTAAGAAAAATGCACAATCACTCCTTGAAGACAAGAATAAATTATATTCGCTTTGCCAAAGGACTTATTGTTCCCGTGACTCTCTGCATGAACACACAGCTGTGTACGTCGACATATATAGTATTAATCAGTTGCTCCAAAAATTAACTGTTTGTTTTCAGATTGATATAAAACGTGCTAGATTTCTTGAAAATCTCTGATCATCGCCGATTATGAAAATTCGCAAACAAGCAGGTGCGACAAGTTTAATTACTTTGGGTGTTGGAGTCTGCATACTGTACTGGGCTGTATATTTGGGGTAGTATGGTATTTTTTTTTCTTCCGCCTGTTTGAAGGGGTGGAAGTTGTTTTTCGCCTTTTATTGTTTAACCTCGTTTACTTTCGCTTTATATCAGGTGATGCTCGTCTCAAAATTCTGCCTCCACGCTTAGCCATATTCTCTTTCGCTTTCACGCACGTTTCGTCCTCTCTTTCTTGTTTATTTACTGTCTCTCTTTTGCCCTTTAGCTGTTCATTCTCTCTCTCTTTCTCTCTCTCTCTCTCTCACCCAATGTCGTCGTACTTTATCTCTCATTCTCACTTTCTCTTCTTAGCTATTGATCTTAGCTATCGGTTATTCATTCTATCACTCCCTGTTTGTCTACTATCTAACTAACTACTGAACTATTTTCTCTCCTCCAACTCTTTTTCTCTCTCTGCGTCACACATGCTCCTTAATTATTAATTCTAAAAAGAGTTAATATCATAGGTTCTTGTTCATTCTACATTTCTCTCTCTCTCTCTCTCTCTCTCTCTCTCTCTCTCTCTCTCTCTATATATATATATATATATATATATATATATATATATATATATATATAACGTCGATAGCATGACTCTATTGACGTTGGATATTATGTACATTCACTAATATATACTTCTAGCTCTATTTCATAACATTGAGCTCTGTATTTATAAGACCTGAGGAAGAAATAAATTTATGCCTACGTGCAAGTATATGTGCGTGTATGTTGATTTTTTGTCATATCCATTCATATATATATATATATATATATATATATATATATATATATATATATATATATATATATAGGATTAATACAAATTAAATTTGTCACTCAGCTGATTGATGTTATATTCAGAACTTCGACTCTAGAGTTTCGAAGACGAACCTTTTTGTATATACAGGATGCGATGGATAAATTGTCGACATTTATATTTTTAATTTCGCGCATGAGCGTTGTTTTTGATTTTGTTGACTGCACAGTATAGTAGGGTCAGTTGGGCACGATCTGTGAAAAAAAAGAGCACCATAACGCAATTCACTCCTCCAGAAATTTAGAAATGGCATGCAGTAATACTTGGCATTCGCGCCGGAATCTCCAATACGAACATTTCAGAGTGTTTAGGTGTCAATCTGAGGGTACTACAGAGAATTCGGAAAGAATTGGATGAGTCTAATGGTGATTAAGAAGGTGTTTAGAGTGATCACTAATAATGTCGATATTATATCTCCATTCATCTTCCCACAGTAACAGACACAAAGCGGAGGCCTACATAAAGGAGGCCTACATTGAGGAAGTAGTGCTGCCCTGGTCAAGAGGGTGGCTCCTGGAAGCAACAGGACTCTGCACCATGCCACACAAGCAGGAGAACCCAGTCACGGCTGACAGACAATTTCTGCGACCACATCACCCTTTACACCTGGCCATCTAACTCCCCAGACTGCAACACCCTTGATTATTATGTATGCGATACAATTGAGCAAGAGACCTACAAAACACATTGTAATACCAAAGATAAACTGAAGGCAAGGATTATAGCAGCATTCACCAACTTAAATAAGGAGACTGTCCAGAAGAGTTGCAGAAGATTCCGAAGTCGTTTGGAGGCAGTGATTGAAGCCAATGACAATTATATTGAATAAATTTACTCTTTATTATTTCAAGATATTTTGTGAATTTTGGTAAATATATCTGTTAAAATGAGATGTTAAAATTATTTTCATTTTTGCGTAATTTAGACGACAATTTATCCATCGTATATATATATATATATATATATATATATATATATATATATATATATATATATATATATATGACTTCTTTTCAACCACTTTCAAGTTTATTGTTTGTTTTTCTACTTCATTTTACTTTACGTTTTTCATCCTATTATTATTGTTCCTCTCTTTCTTTCCCTTTTCTAGTCTCTGGCTTTCCCCTAATTCTTCTAGTCAGTTACTACTCAACTACCTTTCCCTTTCCCACTTACCTCTACTGCCGCTTTTTCTTGTCTCTTCCTCACTCCCTAAAATATCTCCATTTCCTCTATTCTTTCCTCGTCTTTCTCGCTCTTTCCTTATTTTTTTCTTGCTCTTTCTCTCTCTTTTCCCTTTCTCTCTTTTCTGCCATATTGTTGCTTCTTCATTTTTACCCCTTATTTTCGCGCCTTCCCTTACGTTTTCTCTTACGTTATTTTCCATCTCTTTAGTCCTCAATTTTCCTTGTTTTTCTCTTATAACTCTTTCCTACTCTCTCTTGTTCTTTCTCTACAGACTTATTCTCTTTGTTTTTGTCAGTTTCTCTTTTTCTGTCCGTCTTTTATCCTTCATTTTCCTGTCACTTTCACTCTCATTATTCTTTCTCACATTTCATCTTCCAACGTTTCTCGATCTAGAATGTCCTTTTTTTCTTGTTTTACTGCCTCGTTCCATTCCTACAGTCTTTCACCTCTTTCTTTTCCCCTCTTTTTATTACAATCAGCTTTCCATTTGCCTTAGTTCGCTACTCTTTTCGTCGCCTCTGTAATTAATTTATTTCTATCAATCTATCGATTTCTCTTCCCCCCTCTCCTTTTTCTCTTCCCTCCTCATCTATCTTTTCCTTATCTGCTCTTTTTATAATATCTCATTTGCTCCTTCTCTTTCACCTTTCACCCAATTTTATCTCCTTACTTAAAGGAAATAGTCCTTTCCCAAACCAATATCAGTCAGTCAGTTATGTGCCATGCGTGATGCACACTTAGGTGATTATGTATCTTTCTTTTTCCCGTAGCAGGTTGGCATTTCTTTCTGCAGTAGACCAGTTGCCATCCAAGGCTATAGAATCCGGTCTGTCCTGCTATTTACCCATAGCTGGGGAGAGAAGAAGTGGATTCATACCTTTCTCAAGGATATTTTAGCACGTAAGTGAATGTAATGGATCCGTTTATTAGGCAATAAATTACATCACTTAGCGTCCTCCGTTATTTACATTTTCTTACACAGCTGGCTTTAAGAATATTTTAGAGCGTTCTTAAATGTAAAATTTATAAATGTAATGATATTTTTCTCTACTTTACTTTTGTTTATAAATACAAATTGCAAAATAAAATCTACATTTAGCTTGTTAAAGTCCCTCAAGGGACGAAACTCGTTGATAAACAAAAATTGGCCTTTTGTTTTTATAGCGAATAAATTAATTATTACATCAAACGAAAAATGAGAAAAACATCAGTCAAATGCTGAAATCTCGTGACGAATAGACTGAAAAATTACATAAAGTTTTTTACGAAACTGTGCAGTTGAAGTGATAAATATGACATCACTTAAGTAAGTGACAAATTTTATATTTGTATTATAATCCCGTATATATATATATATATATATATATATATATATATATATAGGGGAGCAAAAGTAGGTATACACTAATATACACTAATGAAAAGCAAAATGCGCACAAAACGTATTGCATTGAAAAACAATAATATCAATAATAACATATCAATAATAAATATATCAATAACAAATATATAAATTCCTCAAATGTTCAAATTGTTTGCTCCCGTCATTCACACGCTCCTATTTACCTGGAAAACATTATTATTATTATTATTTATTAAAGAATAAAAATCATAATAAATGTATTGTAATAAAGATTATGAAAATAAAAATATTAAAAACATGATTTTAATGTATCCTAATACTAAATAAATCAGGATTACTATTCTAATATTCAATATTAATATAGTAGATAAGAATAAGTATTTACCAATACTAAATATTGGTGTAACTTACTGTACCTACTTTTGCAATCTCATATATAGTTCAACGGGTACTAATAAACCCTGACCTACTTCCTAAAATATAACCTGATTTATATTTTTAGGAGGGCCGCTTGGCCTAGCCGAGAAATTTTCAGCACCACATCGTATATTCTGGCACAAAGCCAAATAAAAGAAGTGTCAAGACTGTATTGCACCAGTCTTCCAAGTCGGATCGGGCTGACTGCTTGTTTTGAAAATCGGTATTCGGTATCCTGGCTTTTCCGACCGCAGGCGTCACTGGGACGTACGCGACAACCCCGGGTACGATCGGGCTTCTGTTCTTTCCTTCTGAAGATATATCAATGCATTTAAATAACTAATCGGTACTGTCTTTTTTTAATCGTCATGGTAACATTACACTAGCGGTGCTACAATCGAAAGATGGAAATCCAAAATAGATGTGTCACCTGCTCCTTCCGTGTGCACGCAGGGATGGATGGGTGTGGTGTTGACGAGTTGACCGGACGACACTGTTGCCACTAGCTGTTTGCTTAGAGTCACGTATCATTAGGCACACGTGTATTGCTTTTAATTGCATTTGTATGTGACGGAAAACAATTGTGTGAAAGAGAAGGACAGAAAAAAATAATATGGAAAAGAAAGAAAGAAAGTCAGTGTGAAAAAAGAAAAGGAGAACAAAGTTGAATGCGTAAAGAAAGTAAAGAAGAAAGCTGATGAGGAAAAGGAGAAAAAAATTAAACAAACAAACAAACGATAATAAACAGTGGATGAGCTAAAATGCCATGTAAAGTAGATTAAGTTGAAAGATAAAAAAATATAAATAAAGGGACTAAAAAAATGAGTGACAAAAGAAAAAAGCGTAGCACAGATTTTTACCAAACGAAAAAAAAAAATTAAAATAAATAACTACCGCATTTAATGCAATGAACTTAATGTTATAGCAAAGATTTTAAAATAATATACATACATATAGGTTCGTTGCTTCTTCAATTCGAGATAATTCTCTTCAATGAATCAGTGAACCTCATTGAGCTTGAGATGCCATTCCGTAGACTTTAATCATTTGCTATGGTCACGTGATCTCACCTTTGATTTAGCAGACGATATTTTGACCCAATTGTCGTTGCCGTAAAACTTTATTTGAAATGTAAATCGTTTAAACAGAGATGTAAAATCATTTGGTATAAAAGTATTTTAGTGAGATCGAAAAATATAGTTTCTCATACTGCTACATAGATTATACATTCCTTCTTGATTTTCAATGCGTTTTTATTTAGTTTGCAACGCATTTCATTTATATTTTGTCATTAATCTCTGGCCAATAAACAACACTTTTCTGATGATATACATTGTATTTCTATAGTAAAATGAATTAAAATGTAATTCTATAATAAAATTATTCATAATACATTTCTATAGTAAAATTATTTACAGGGATGTTGCTATAGTAAGATCATTATCAATGTCTGGCAGTAATACTTGTTTTATTCTTAACAATTTACAATACTATTATTTTGTTTTCAGTAAAATAATTTACACAATATCTATAATAAAACTATTTTCAATTCATTTCTATAGTAAAACCATTACCAATATATTTATATTCTGTATAATAGTCCTATTCTGTCCGTAATGATCCCTTTAAATGATATTCTCTTTTCTTTGATTTTCAATGCATTTTTACAATAAAAATTATTAGCAATGTAATATTACAAAATATTTATATTGGCACTTTGAAGTATGTTTACATTAAAATCCGTTATATTCATTACACAATATCCAGATTGAAAGTTGAAATTGACTAACACAAATTCCATGTATAAATTTCAAAATTTCGTTTGTTACGTGATCGTTGTTTTCCTCTACCATCAAAAATATTTCCATTGTTATAACTGTAAAGAATAGAAATTGAGTGTTAGAGTAAAGTTAGTAAGCAGTTATAAAAATGCAGTAAAACCTATCTACGTATACTGAATTAAAAAAGAGTCGATGCAAAAATACATCCAGATTTCTTTTCATTTTTTGTATGAGAAAAATTTTATTTATCCTTTTATGTATACATGTATGTATGTATATTATTATATTTTCTGTTTATACGTTATTTTTTATGGATAAACTTATTTGGATAAATGTTTTTTAATTAAACAGTATTTGATCCATTTCATATAATATATATATATATATATATATATATATATATATATTGAACAATAAAAAATATTAAAAATTAAATGCTTCAGACACACTGGGTTGTAGATTAATATTCTATCGTTTTTTTTTATTATTATTATTTCATTTAGATTCCTCGATTCTTCCTATATATATATATATATATATATATATATATATATATATATATATATATATATACAAGTATATAATTGGTATATACAGAATGAATTCCAATAACCAACAATTACTATTCTTAAAAGAGTGCTCAATACAAAGTAGAGCAAATATAATTATTTTTTATAAAAAAAAAAAATAAAATAAAATTATAACATAAGTATTTTATAAAATCACTACAAAAATAGCCATTTTGTTTCAACACACTCTGTGTCTTATCAAGTGATGATGTTGAAAAGAAAATTTGATTGGTTATTCTAGCTTTTGTAACAACGTTTCCCCCTAGTGTAGGATCGTTAATTAATCTGAAACTTTTAAAACCATTTATTTTCTTTTCAACATCATTACTTGATAAGACACAGAGTGTGTTGAAACAAAATGGCTATTTTTGTAGTGATTTTATAACATACTTATGTTATAATTTTTTTTTTATAAAAAATAATTATATATATATATATATATATATATATATATATATGAATGAATGAAAGTATAAACACTGAGGTCAACACCAAGCGGCGACACCAATGGTGTATTATGAACCCATTATGCACCATTGATCAGTATACATAAACAGTCAAGTTACAACACAGCACAAATGGTCTGAACTTTGCGTCCAAGCGTGAATCAGACTGTTGCCGCTTGCTGTTAACCTCAGTGTTCAATCTTATATTTACATACACTCTATTACCGAAAAGAGCACTTTTACTCATAGATATAGCATACCTTAAAACTATATTTTTATCATATATATATAATAGGTTTCATTGAAGACGACTTTTTATTATATTTTCTTTCATTGGTACAAGTGATTTCTTTTCTGGACATAGAGTGTATACAGTACAAATTTTTGTGAATCCGAGCGCTTTCGGCTAATCTATTAACTCTGATGAAAGATGTTTTTTCGCTTGACTAAATATGTAGATTTTTTTATAGCAATGGGAATGTTTAATTTCCGGACACAGTTAGCTCGTTATGACCGTGTTCATAATTGATAATAATGAAATATAGAATATTAATTATTCTCATTAGATTAAAAAAAACCTACATCGACTGTTAAACACAAAAGCAATAGACCAATAGATTAGCCTTCGAACTCACTGATCATTAGGACAGTTTTTATACACTGTATGACCAGAAAAAAAATCCCTTGTACGAATGCAAGAAAAATATAATAAAAAAATTTAATCGCAGTACCTTGTCAGTCGTCTTCAGTGAAATGTGTATAAAAGAGGCATTGATTCGCAAATACACAATATATATATATATATATATATATATATATATATATATATATATGATATAATGATATATATTTATATATATCAACAACAATATTGATTAAATTGTATGAAAAAGTGAAAAAAATGTACTTGTGACGCGTTTCGTTCTTCAATTTAATCCTGAAGGACGA